CTGTGGCGGAATCTTCAGGTTCAGGAAGTTACTTCATCACCAACACAACTCCCCTCTAGAGGAGCTAGTAGTGGGGCATCTAGGTGAACACGCCCGAATCAAGATTAATGTTGATGTTGGCCTCTTAGGTCCATCTCATGCTAGGTTTGGTGTTATTGTTCGTGACAGTTATGGGGGATGTTTTGCAATTAAATATGGTCGGATTAAGGCCGATTCAGTAGTCTAAGCCGAGGCGTTGGCATGTTTTGAAGGCCTTCTATTAGCTAAATCTCTAGATTTTGATCATGTAATTTTGGAAAGCGATAACAAGGTTTTGGTTAATTGTTTTTTGAAGGAGTTTGTGCCTCAGGTGTATTTCTTTTCATGTTCTAGAATGTCTTTGACTTTGCCTCATAAATATCTATCCTTTTGCTCACTCTGGAAGAAAGTCAAACAGTGTAGCTCATGTTTTGGCCAAAAAAGTCGTAACCTCCAAAGGTTTTTTGGTAGCTGATTTTCCAAGCTAGGTTTTGGCCCTCTTACAAGTGGACTCTCTTGATGCTGCTTAAGTTTTTGTTGAGTGTTGTTTTCTTTTGTTTCTATGGTTGTAGTTCTTTATTATGTTTTTGAGTTGTTTCGCCTTTAATGAAAATCTTTGTTTCTACCAAAAGAAAATAAAATACATTTGTATCCTTTTAGATTATCCTCAAAGTGACTTCAATGTTTTAAAAATCAATACGAAAATAGAACCGCTTTTGCCTCATTTTCGATTAGTGATTCTATTGTCTAGGTTAAATGCTTTGACCTGTGATAGCATAAATAATAATTATTCAAAGAGATTCTGATAAATTGATATCAGTTCTTATCATGATTTCTAATTTTGGAGAAATCAGAAAAAAAGAATGATGTTTGAGCAAAAGTGGCAAGTAGGACAATCTTGCCAGTTTCACAAAATGTCAATTTCTTGTGCTCCAAGATGCATCGTACCTTGTAAAACATTGTTTTAACACAAAATTAAAATTTTGAAATCTTCATGTCATAGAACATACTACGCCACCAAAGTATTTTTTTTATATGTTTTGAAGGGCTACACAATGGGGGTAGCCAATCCCCTAACTAGGTGGGAATCGATTCCAAGTCTTTGCTTCGACCAATACGAGACCTTACCAACTAAATGGTTGGGACCTTGCCTATGCCACCGAAGTATATAACATTGTCGTATGTTCCTAACAAGTTCAAACATACCATGATGGGTCTCATAGCTTAGAATGCACCACACTTTTTAACATCACAATATAGATTACCGACCACACCTTTATTAGAAAAAAATAGCTAGAGAAATAAGTATTTATTTTAGCTAAATAAATAACAAGTGTCCTATTAGGGGTATGCCTTACGAATAAGTGGTTTGATAAATAAATATTTATTTTATAAGTAATTATTTTTAAGTACTTATTTAAATAAGTACTTAATGAGGGTATTTTCCTAAGCCATTTATACTTATTTTAAGTATTTATTTAGGTTACAATGTTTGGTGAGCCACTTAACCAATACATACTTGTTTTTGAAAAAAAAATGACAATTATAACCCTAACTTAACAAATATAACCATTTTAATGAAAAAGACAATTATAGCCCTCATAAAACACATGGACCCACTGATGAGAATGAAAATTATCATATTTTTATCCCTTAATATGTAGTATTTTATACTTATTTAGTGCCTAAATGGACTTATTATTCTTATATTTCGATTTAGGACACGAAAGGAGGCGTTAAGTGGAAAACAAGGCTAATCGGGTAATTCTGGACAATTTCTGCGCCGCATGGTAATTTGGACATAACTCTCCCATCCGGACTCCAATTGAGATGATTCAAGATGCGTTGGAAAGATAAAAAAAATTATACAACTTTAATGTTTTGAGTTTTGATAGATACAGACTGAATCGAGGTCAAAATTAGGCCCGAATTATCTGCAACCGCACTGCTGACGTGTTGGAGCAATTCCTTAGCCTGCAAGTTTTCATCCGGGAATTCACCACTCCCCCACTTACACGAGAACAGGGTTTTATCTGAAGAGAATGATATAAAAAGAGGAGAAAAAGAGGAGATAGGGGTTCAAACCCCTGAAAGAAAATTGAAGAAGAAAGCTGCTAGGGAGAGGAGGAGGCTGCTGAATGCGAATTGAAGGATAATCACAGTCCTCTTTGGTTCTACAGTTTGGTAACCTAGATTCAATTAGGGTTATTGAGGTTTCTCTATTGAATCTTTCTTCTTTCTTCCTTTTTATGTCATGATCAGCTTTAATCCTGTTTTGTGATTAAACTTAGGCAGATCCGATTGAGTATGATTTGTTCTTGGGATTCTTGATTAGGGTTTTAATTTTTAGAACAATCTTGGTCGAATTGTTCTTGCATCTATGATTACTTGAACTGCTTGAGAAAGACTTAGGTAATTAGATCATCTAATCAAGAAATGGACTGAATGCACCTTAGAGATAAGTTGCATGGTTCGGTTGGCAATCATTCATACCTGAATTGATGACCTACAGATTTTGTGTTCTTAATGCATCTATGGTGATTCAATTTTTGATAGAGATATAGGAATTGTCATCGTAGATAGGGTGGGCTGCTCTCGAGAGAGACTGCTCATAAATTAGGGTTTCGCCAACCCAAGACTAACTTCACCTCAGTCGAATAGCTTAAAGATTTGATTGCTGAATCGGTTCTGTCAATTCTTGTATGCAGTGACTTCTCTTATCACGAAGAGTGGTTTGATCCGAAATTAATTAGGGTAGTTTGCTTGTTCTTAATTACATCATGAGTGGTTAGGTTTCTATTGTTAGGGATTAATACTTGATCATGCATTGATTTTCAGTCATTAGTAAAATCGATGAGGTTCTTGCTATATTGTGTTATTTGTGCTGATTACTTATCATTGATTGATCACCAATGATTTGTTCTTTAATCAAGATTATGCATCGAGAGATGATAATCGAGGTGGAACTAATTAGGTAGAGATATCATTTGTTGGTAGGATTTCCTCATAGGTGTATTTTATGCAAAGAGGATTTCAATTGAGAGAATGAGAATTCCTTAATTGTAATTCTATTTAATTAAACATAGGTTTAGCTAATCGACTCTTGAGAAAGATCGACTAGTGCTTTTAGGAAACACCTTGGAATATAACAGCCCTCGTGAGATTTTATTAGTATTGAAACTTGATGATCGTGATAGAATTAAGCCCTAACAACTTTGTTAGTCTAAATTCCTTAATTCGCAACCCAATTGATTATTGCTTTAAACAAGTTGAGAAGAAATTAATAGGTGGCTAAATAAATCATTCCTTATGGGAACGATTCTGTACTCCTTACTATATTACTTGCATGACTCCGTACTCTTGTGGATAGTTGACACCCACATGTCACACACATGGCACTATTAATTAAAACTTATTTTGTTTAAGAAAATATAACACACGAGCTGAAAAATAATTTCTTGTAACGATGATGATAATAACAATAATAGTTAATTTAACAATTGTAAAATAATAGTCATAACCCACAAAAAAAGAAAATAGAAGATTAATTTCAGTTCAAAAGTTATTTAGAATATTTGTGTAATGTTTTATGAAGAAGGAAACATCAATGGAAAATTTTGAAGAGCTTCTATATTTTGCTGTTGGGAGATCCACTGCGTGCGGACTGGAAATAATGCACAAGAGAATGAAAGTGACAGTTTACCAAAAACATAATCAAGCAAATTCAAAACCAAAATGAAACTAACTAGCTCAGACCATCTGGATCCCCAAACAAACTGCCATTGTTGTTGATTTTAAGACTTGAATTTGACAAACTGAATGAGAAAGGGAAGAAATTAAAACTGAAACCAAAAAAGCAATCACCGCCCATCTGGTTGCAACTTCATTGTTGCCATTGCTGGTTCCATTGTCTTCTCTAATGTTGTGTTCGTTTTGAAGGAAAAAGTAGGGAAAAGAAACGAAAGGTAGGAAAGTCTTTACAAATCTTGTATGGGTTTCCTTATCTTTTCCTTTAAACCAAACATAGCATAAAAAGAGGGGCACTAAATGGAATTTTAGAAAGGGGATAGTTTTGTCCTGCAGAAAAGAAATAAGCACTTATTTAATAAGTGCTTAAAATAAGTTTTAAACCATTTGTTTTCAAAATAAGTATTTATTTTGATTTTAGGCTTTTTGCCAAACATGAATAAATACTTTATTTCCACCTATTGTGGTCCCACCACTTATTTTAAATACTTATTTGAATAAGTACTTAAAATAAAAGATACCAAACAGAGGCTAAGTAGGATAATTAATACAATTTGTTAATATTACCCAACCAAGTCATTATCCCCAAGACCCCATCAAGTAGATGATGACTTCCTGACATGACAAAAGAAAATTCTTCAATTTTGATAAACATCAACTAATTGGTTACTGCTGTTATGAAATGGTTGATTGGTTATTTTTTTGATATTATGTCTTTTTGGTATCATGATCAAATCTCAGTATTTTTATTTGAAAAGTTTTGGATAAAATCTCAGTATTTTTATTTGAAAAGTTTTGGATTAAACATCACATGCAGTTTTTTAAGGTATACCTATTTCAATTATAAATAGCCTCAAATAACTATTATATGTTAATTTATATTGATCAACCCAAAGCATTTTTGGTAGAAAATAACAAGTATCAATCACAAATTCACAACTTAAGCTCAAAACCCCTTTGATCGGACCTCTCACTGAACTGCCAAACTGTGGGCTTCCTTCACAGTCCATAATAATTCCACCAATTTGATTGTGGTGACCAGTGATCTCAATGATTAATATGTATAATATAAATACATACAAAGTAATACAAAATATAAGGTTTTGCACTTTATATATTTATATTTATTCTCAGTTCGGGGTACAATACAAAAATACAGCCCACGTTAACATGGCACTTTTATGCTTCGGCTCGAGTTGATGCAGATCGTGGGATTTACACGAAAGTCCAGATAATTATTCAAGCTTACTAACCTGTTAGATAAGAAATCCAAAGAGAACATCAAGCACTTGGCTTTTGCCAACAGGATTCTCATCTAGCTTAATTTCACGTGATTATATAATAATACGAAGTGAACTCTGTTTTTACATTAGGTATTAATCACCATTTACATAAAAAGAAAACAAGTGTATGGTGAAAGAGATATCATCCTCGTTTATTTTTTCCATGACACTTGCTCGTTTCTCCTAGTAGACCCCCTTCTGATACTCTGCTTCACAGAATTCTCCTCCGAGATCATCACACGCTTCTCCTGGAAATACCCTGTAATAATGGCGTCAAGAAATATAATCTATATTTAGTTCTCTTGTTGTAATTGCTTTGCTTTGCACATTATTTTATGCCAAATTGTTTTTTTTTTTCTTTTTCAGAACTACCAATCTACGTGTTGGTCTTAAGAGCAGCTTACGTCTTCGGGTTATCATTATACTCGATATACTCTCTATCAACTGATTCTGAAACCATTCTTGCTACATTATTGCTGCTGGAGGCCTCCGTTTTGAGCTTCACTTCTGGATAAATTTCTACATCACAAGCCTCTCCACCAATTGTCTCACAAGCTTCTGCAGGAAACACACTAAAAGACGTATATACAACCAGGGTTATTCATCTAATATATATATCATTGAGACAAGCTCTTGATGATCAAGTAAGAGAAAGTGAAGGGAACAGGAAATTAAGCCATCGACTCACGATGTCATGGAGCTGTAATCAACTGTGAAAGAAGTGTCATAGGCCACGGCACTGGCTTTGATCGAGGGACATCGGGAATGTAGAGTGGTCTCTAGCTTTGGAGGAGATCTCAAGGGCGAATGAAAGCTCCTGGTGGTTTTTGGAAGTGAGATAGATGGTGCAAAGCACAGAGCTGCCTGCATTTTGATGGGTTAGTGTTAGTTGGTGTTGAGCTTGTGAGCCGTGGAGTGCAGATCCAAATTTATCAACTGGGTTGGTGGAGTTTCGATAAGATGGCAAAGATATCTGCGACCGGATAAGGTTCAGCGCTGTTTGACCCTGAATGAGTGGTGGAGAAATTTAAAGAAAGAAAAAAGAGATAAAATAGGACAGAGACAGAACATTGGACGCTTTCTGATTTCTGAATAATAAAGAAAGCCTTTTTATCCTTCTATTTTGATCAAAATGTCAAAATTTCAAAAGAAAGAAAAAATATTTAAAAAAAAAATCCGAACTTGAACTTAAAAGTTAAAACCATGGTTATCAATCAAGATTGCCCTAGCCTCCTTATCCTTATACAGATCAGACAAAAAATCTGCATTCACCATCCAATCACTTGCATGCTTGCACTGAATTGATGACCCAAATAATGAAAAGGGTGAAATGCAGAACGAAAACTCGATGCACCATCCCTGTCGTCGTGTAACTGTTACCCTTCTCGTGGAAAATCTTAACTTCCTTCATCTGCAAATTTCTCTTTCATTGACCAACGGCCATAACCAAAGCAAAATTTGAAGTTGCAGCTCATTTATATAATTTTTTATGCTACTGAGCAAGCTGACGGTCTTGTGAATTCTGACGGGCCTGAGACCACATTTAGGCTGCCGCTGCCGCTGCCGCTAGGTGCTAGCGTAAACCCTGCTGCATTGGTTTCAGTCTTTCAGACCCTTATAGTCCTCATTTTCAAGGGATTTACCACAGACAATTCTTCCCAAAAGTACAAGTACAACAGACTTAAAAAAATGTATTTTATCTATAACCTAATGAGTAATGAGGCCCCATTTCATCCTAACAGAAACACAGGCTACAAGCAGACCAGACCAGATTGGAAAAAAAAACATAACAGAAAACCATCTAAACTAGCGCTCAAAACAGGCCCCATCTAATCTTGAACTTCGAGCTTCCAGAAAATGTCTATATCTTTTTAAGACTACACTCAAGTACCTTGTTTTGAGGTGCAGACATAGTTTGCGTAAAGAAGCTAGGTTCTGGCTTTCCTGAGAAGAGAATAACAAAAGGCATAATTCCCACTAAGAGAAAAATTCTTCACATTTTATAGGAGATGCAGATCAAGACCCTGTAAACCACAACCCAGCAATACCGAACTTCCAAATTCTGGAGTTGTAAAGGGCTCCGGGGTTCAATAGTTTTTATACATTTTACATGTATTTCCCCTTCAAAAACTATGCAGCTGCGTGAGCATGGGTACAAGCTCATCACTAGAAGGCCGATCAGCAGGCAAATCTGACAGGCATGCAACAGCGATTCTCACTGCCATCAGCATTTCATCCTCCTCTCCTTCTTCCCCTAGAATGCTCTTGTCTAGTGCTTCTCGTGTCTCCCCTGCTTGTTGCAAATGCCGAAGCCAGCGCACCAAACTCCCCCCACTTGCTGCTTCCCCAAAGAATGGATCCATAGGGTCTCTCCCAGTCAGCAGAATAGTCAAAATCATCCCAAAACTGAAGACATCACTCTTATCAGTGTACCTGCAAATTGGATCGGTATCCTCTTAAATAATAACACTACTAAAGTCTACAATAATGTATTGCAAGTGAACTGAGAAAGTAAACAGAACAAGCTTTAATAACTAATTGAAGTGCTGAGCCCTGCCTAGAAAACACCACCATATAACAGTTGGGCATCTTTAGTTAATACCGATTCCATATTCTACATAATAAACAGAGAAACTAAAGCCCATGTTTTCTTTTGTAGAATACCAACTTCTCATATTGCATTAATCAACCGGAGATGAATTTCCAGTATTATAGGATAACATGGACAACAAAGAGTCCAGCCCTTACAGCAAATCCTGTGTAAAATGCTTAGTATGCGTTTCTAGGAATCAGGGATAATACCTGAAATAAAGATGTAAATAAACAGAAAAGTCCGATATTGGTTCTAGAAAACAAAAATCGGCTGAGCAATCAGATGCAACTCAGAACCTGACAAAAGATAACCAATTAAAATTTCTTCAACTGTGCACCAGGCAGATCTCTAATCAATAACACCAAGTTCCAGTATTGAATAACAATTCATGCTACCCAAAGACTTCAATAACCTAATTTTAAACAAGGCAATAAAAACAGAGAAACCATGAACAAGCAATTCATCTACTTCCAAGATCCACATAAGCACAATATCAGTTATCAAGTTCCCACTAATGCTTCTGAAAATAAGGATATTGGGAGGCCGAAAATACAAGAAAAGAATATCTAGAGTCAAACTACTCCATAAAATTGCAACTGCAAATTGTCATAACTGATAAAAAATTACCTGCAGCTCTGGAAACATTCTGGAGCAGTATAGCTAGATGCTGCTCGGTCCAAATTAGGTAAAAGCTTAGCCAACCCACAATCTGCCAGTCTTGGCTCAAAGTCTGCATCTAACATTATATTTGTAGGCTTGAGATTGTAGTGCAGAATTCTCGGGTTGCAACTGAAGTGGAGATAACTTAGACCCTTAATCACCCCGACTGCAATGTGATGTCGGATTTCCCAACCAAGCTGGAGCTGGTTCTCCCGGACTCTGTTCATTGCATCTTCAAGGCTGCCATTAGTCATGTAATCATAAACCAGAGAAAACCGACTGTGTTCCCGAACATAAGCCCGTAAGGTCATCAGATTCCGATGCCTTATGGTAGCTAACGTTTCCAACTCCTGCTGTATCCCTCTCTTGACCGACTTGTTCTGAGTCTCCGGAGAACCGGTTTCAAGGGGCTCAAGCCTTTTAAGAGCAACCGCTAACCCATTATAAAGAACAGTTCTGTAATACTTCCCATTTGGGCTCGACCCGAGTAACTGATTTTCCTTCGAGAGGGCCGATTGAAGTGTTTTAGGATCGATTTTGGAGGAGAAGACAACGGGGCCTTTAAGGATTGGAGTTCTGTTTAAGTACTTGATAACGAGTCGGACTATGCAAGCAGAAATGATGGCACAAATTAATCCGGTGAGAGTTCCTAACACAATGCCCAACATAATCCTCCGAACGCCATTCCTGTATGTGGGAAACTGTGGAGGAGTTGGAGACTCTGTCAAGATGTGCTCTGTCATGACTTCTCGGCATTGGATGACACAGAAAAAGCAGGGGAGAAACAGAGTCAGTTTTGCCGAGCTTCTGCTGTTAAAGCATGCGTTAGAGTTTCTCTTGTCCATGGAGGGAAAAGCAACACATAACAACGAGAACCCAAGTTTAGTACCACAAGAAGTTCTTCAACAGTTCACAGAACATCAAAAAATTCATATGGATTTCTAAAAATTACAAGCTTCAAATCAACGAACTTGCCCTTAAAAGGATTGCAACAGTTCAGAAAACATCAAATTCTAGAAATATCTCACAGTTTCGAGATGCAAATTAACGAACCCAACCTGAAGAAAGTCCTGAACTTCATGGTTTCTTAACCTACAAAGTAATGAACCTAACTTAAAGAAGGCCTTCGGCACCAAAAAAAAAACAAAGGAAAAAAGATTCCCGTTAGTAGCGAGCAGAAAATCAATCATTTCAGCTCTACCCAGAAATGTATAAATCGAAATCTGCATTTTTCCCGTTTCATTCAACAGATTCTGACGAAAAGGAAGAAGGAAGAAAAACCAGTATTTCTAGAAAATGCTCAAAAAGAAGAGAGAGATAAAGCCGTTGCTGAAGCTTCAACAATTCAGAAACCCGGAGTTGAAGGCCGAGAAACCGTCTTTCCGAAAGTGTGTATACAATTCAAGCCAGAAAACTGATCCAAAATAAATGCTTTTTCGTTCTCATAGGAAGGGCTCGCCGCTCACTATCCTCCAACTCTCCAAGAGCCCAAAATAAAGGAAGCGACAAACCCAATAACCCATGTTTTTAAAACCCCAAAAGTCCGGATTTGCAACACTTTTTTTTTTCTTACTTCCTAGTTCCTACACCAATAGCAACAACAGTGTAATGGAAGTATGGAACACCTAGAAATGAATCAACTCTGGTAGACCGTGTTAGCCCATCCGATCCGAAGTAACAGGGCTCTCCGATTCAACTGGTTTGATTCGGAGAGTTGAGATAAGTTCAGACGAGAAACTCGTACGAGTGTGGGGTTGACTCGTCGGGTAGTCTGGAGTGGAGAGAGAAATGGCGTTTTTGTCAGTTGTGTTCTCTCTCCCTAATCCCGGGCACGGCGGGGCCCATTTGAAGCACACACGGCTCTGTCGCCATCACGGGCCGAAAGCGAAATATTGAACTTTGTGCGAGAAACCAGAGGGGACGAGATCTTGGCCATTTGTCCATTTGATCAAATCAAGACTGTTAGTAAAGAATAAAGGGAATTTATACGGCCCTTTTCGATTATGATTTATGTCTCATCTCTCAACGTTTCAAAAAAAGTAAAGTTATTCGAAGAATAAAATAATAGCTTTTTGCCTATGATAATTGTATCAAAGACTGAATTAAACCAGCAACGTTTAATTCAGTCTTTGATACAACTATCATAGCCCACTCAGGATCCAGTCCGTTTGGACTCGAAGGGATTTTCAGTTCGAGTCCACTAAAATTTTGACACGTCGATCGATGTTCAATTGGTCATGCAACCACCGGTTGAAGCTTATATGACTAATAAAATATTTTTAAATAAAAAATTAAAGGAAAAAGGATTACTTGTGGTTTAATATAAGCTCTACTCCGATATATGAGTAATACCATGACAATCACTACACCAACCGGTGAATCAATTTTGGCACGTGTTCGTTGAACAGTATACCTGAAACCTTTGACACCATATCATGAACGTTCACCCCCAACCTCTATAATCGCACCTTGAAGCTCACAATCCCAACTCTCAGTCCTAAGAACGAGAAAACCATCATCAGATCATCCTCCATCACGTTTACACCCATCTCTGCTATGTCATAAGCACTTAGCATCGCTAGCATGCTATCTAGGCTGTGGCCAATCATGTTTATGTTCAGTTCCTTATCTGGGTATTGATGCATTAGCCGCTTGACTTCGCTCAGGATCTGCTCCCGAGCCGAGTATTTGCAGAACTGACACAAAAATGTTATTGTACCATATACCGAGATACCGCTTAGTACTTGGTAGAATTGCCCAGACTGAAGAAACCTAAGGCCAAGGCACCTCCTATGGATGCTAAAATCTGGTTCTCGCTTATCATTTCCCTTGATTTAATTCCATCATTGCCGGTGATTCAAGTTAGCAAAATCGATGAGGAAAATGAAACAATAATAGAACAAAGCACCCCTGAACGGTTCTTTTGATATTGAGATCTTATCTGTTTTTTAGTTCTCTTTATTTCATTTTGCCATTTGGCTTGCCAAAAATAGGGGTAAACTGCAATTGTTATTGATTGAGGGAGCAAGGTCTAATTCTGAGAACAGATAATAGAACGTGAGGGCTTTGGATTTTTGTCCGTATAAAGAAGAACATTTGCATGGAAGAAGAAGAAAACAGCCTCATGTCTTGGGTTTGTCTTGCAGATCTAGAGTCACAACCGCAAGAAGACGTTATCTTCCCATTAATGGTTGGAGAGTTTTTTGAACAACGAATACAAATTAATTCAAACAACAAATGTAAAATAGCACAAAAAAACCAAAAAGAATACTCAATAGATACAGAGGAAAAGAATTTCCAAACATTCATACAACATTACTATTTGCTGGAATTAAAAAGAAAATAAAAAAAAAATGATTCTATCATCGGCATTCAAGAAGGAAAGATGAAAAACCCTAGACATAGATATCGGCTTTCCTCTGAATATTAAACTTTTCTCTAACACCGTTGCTACTACCGTTAAAATCCACAATCACCGTGTTGCCCATTGCTGTTCTGTTGTAGGTTGTACACCGTTGAAAAAGGCTTGTTGCTGTTAATGGTGCGGTTGGGTGAAAAAGGTTAGAGTCTTAGAATGTGAGGGCTTTGGAAATTTCTGTCATATTAGTTTTAAAAAGTTATCAATTTTTATTTAAAATTATTTTTGTCCCTTATAAAATTTCAGCAGATTATAAGTAATAATTAGTAGAGCACTGAATGATGTGTCAAAATTTTAATGGGATCGAAGAGAAAATCCTTTCGAGTCCAAATGCACTGAATCCGGAGTAAAACTCATTCATCATTGCCAACAGTGGGCCTTGATTTGGTTGCCTTTGGGTCTCGCCGTCTCAGGTCGGGTTCCACCGTTGAGCCTGAAAAGGGCGTCGTCTGATAGTATTAGCGGCTCAACTGGCTGAATGACAATTTGGTGAATGATGATTAGTTGATTAATAATTTACTACAACAACACCCCTGAATGTCTATCTCATTTTGGTTCTATTCGTTTTTTTTTTTTTTTCAGCTTCATGAGACTACACAACGGGGGTAGTCCATCCCCTCCCTTAAGCCCCCGAACCTGGTGGCAGCTGGGTTTGATCGAAGGTTTCTATTCCGACCAATCAGAGATCTTATTAACTGAGTCACCATTTTGTATTTTTGTTGAATACGGGAAGTTGAATGGACGAAAAAATTTTCATGTAGATGACTTTGAGATTTTTTTTACTTTTCAAATAAAAATTTTATTTTTCTAATTATTTACATCAATATAGATTGTTTTTTTTTTTTGGTATTTGGTGCCATACACCATTAATAACTTCCTCTTGACCCCTTTTTTCCCAAAGTGTTGATTATGGGATTCGGTTCTGTTGATCTGTGTCAACGTTGGAACAAACCAGCTAACACTAAGAACCAGCCCTTGGTCTAAAACAAACAATCCTCCCATAATATTATCAAATATAATATAAACTATGAAAAAATAAATACAGCTTATATAACTATTAAGAAATGCAATCACATAAATCATAATCAATAAGGTGGTATCATTACCATTTCTTAGGCTGGGTCTCTTAAAACAGAAATCAATACAAATAAAAAATTGCTTTTAGGATTTTGTGTAGGAGTTACTTCCCTGAAATATAAGAAAAAAAATGTTGCCTAGGCAATGGTAGCAAACACCACCCAAGAATAATATATTATATAAAGTAGATATTTGCTTTGACTTTGGTAGGTCATAAAAGTTTTCTTGCACGTAGTGTGGACTGTGGAGAGTGCAGCTTTAGATCTGATACCGCACATCTCATAAACAACATTTACAGCACAGATGTGGGCTCATGCAAAAACCCTTTTTACACATACTAGCAATAGGGGTGAGCAAGAAAAACTGAGAAATCAAAAAATTGAACCAAACTGATGAAACCAAGCAGAAAATTTCAATTAACCGAATCGTTTGCTTCAGTATTTTGGATAAACTGAAGGTATCATTTTGGATTTGGTGACCAATATAAAAAACTGATGGTTAACTGAACCGACTGGTGTACATATATATATATATATATATTTATGAATATTACATATACTTTTCATATATATTTTATATTATCTATATATATTATAAATGAATATATATATATATATATATGTATTATATATTATATAATTTTGTAATATATAATATATCATTTATTATTTACAATATAATATTTTATATTTGTTATATATAATACTCTGAAAATAAAAAACCAATGAACTGAATCGATTGATCGGTTAATTGATCGGCTTCAGTTTGATTTCAGTTACCAGTTTTCCAAAAATCAGTATCACTGGTTTGGTTTGAAAAAAAGATCCATAATTCGGTTAACCAAACCGTGATCACCCCCTAATCTGCAAGTGATATCTCCATTCCAGCCATAAGTTATGGGCCGTTTGCACTTTATGGTTGGAGCGGGCATTATGATTGGCCCTACAGCCCAAAACAAAGTTATCAAGTTCATCTAATCCTTTATTGTCAATTTGTCACATGGCACCCCTTCAAGGAGGCGTCTATGGAATTGCAGTGCAGATTCTTTTTCTGCGGTATAACCAGTGGGCCTCATGTGCATAGCTAGTTGTAGTGGAAACCTAAGATCTGCTTTCACCAGGTTGGGGAGCCAGAGAGGCTTCCTCCATCTGTCGGCATTTGCCTAACAAAAGAGAGAGAGAGAAAAAAAGAGATCTTGTCAATATCTGTTTGGTTTTAGTATGTGCTTAACTTGGGGGATTTAATCAACCCGATTCAATCTGAAAAAATAAGATTGGGTTGAAAACATGGGTTAGGTGATGCTTCAGAGTTCAGACAACCCGACCGGACCCAACGCAACCCATCACGTATTATTACATTTATCTAATGTTACCACAATAGGTGTTTGCAGAAAAATTAGTTCAGCCCCGACCCAAAACCCAACTAGCAACATGAAATCCAAGTCCGATTACGATACTGAAAAGGCATGATATCTAAAAAAACTGATAACCTGGTATTCATCAAAATTCAACTAGAAATTGCGTATTTTTATCCTTCAAATTTTTGCAAAAGCAGACACCAAATTATTAAGGCCCCACTTGATTCGCAGGAATAGGAGTCTAGAATCGGAATTGAAATGGGTTATTTCAATTCCAACTGTTTAATTGGGTGAGATTGGAATCCCATTCCTAACCCTCCATTGGGAATTAAAATCAGTAGCCATTCCTATCAAAACCAAACAGATAGACCATTCCAATTCCGACTACAAACCAAATGGACCCTAAATGTAATGCACAATCCTTCACATAGGCCCACATTTTAGAGAATGCGCTTCCATATCAAAGATTCTGATCTTCCACTAGGCCATCAACACCAGATTATAGTTGATCCAACCGTATAAAGGCTACAAACGAATCAGATTCAATTCGCATATACCTAAATGCAAACATGATATGTTAATATTCAGATTTGAGTTTGATCCATTAGATTCGAAATTAAACTAAATATTGTCAAATCAAAATATTTATAGAATGTACTAAAAATGACTTTGATTTTGTATATAATGAATACGATGGCCTAAAAATAATCAAAATATTATATTTTAATAATCGGATTGGATTGGGGGTGAAGCAGTGTATTCTTAGCCAAAAACCAATTTTACCAAAAACAAACCGAACCAATAATTACACCATGAAATTCAAGGCGCCCTTGAGTGTTTTCTGCTTGGTTTCCAAGATCCAACCGCCATTTCAAAATGGGAAAAATAGATTTCAGAGACTAGTCTTATTCAAACAAGGATAAAGCACTTTCAGGTCCAACTAATTTCCCTTGCGTCTGGGCGGGCATGGACCATCATCTATGACCTATCAGCACACCCCTAGCGTCACTTTTGAACAAGGCCCGCTGAATCAAGCAGCCAGTCTATGATAGCGTACACATGAGCATGGCATTAAATCAGTGAGCAGGCTTCCATTAATTCTGCAACTGATAGATGTCCAAAGAATGAAACTGGGAATGCGTTCTCCCTCTCTCTCTCTCCCTCTACACTTCTTAAATGTTAATAGTTTCTTGAAATGAAGGAAAAATGAAGAAAAGATTAATCAGTTCAAACTCATTTCCCTGCACCGTAGCCATGTCTTCCATATGAATCCTGTAGTGTCACAATACTGATGATTTCCTCTCCTTACACGACATTCAAAAATGGCTATTGCATTGCGTTTTTTCAATGGCAGCACCAAAAAGAACATAAAAAGTAACATTTTATTCACTCTACCCAAGTACTGATGTTTGCACTTCATATTGGATGTAGCAACGGAAACCAGAACCCCAGAGCCTTTCATTAGCACATCATACCTGATACAGCCCGAGAAATAGTCAAAAGGAAATGGTCCCACTTGCATGTACCAAAGGAAAGAAAATGCAAAACAAAAAAGAAGAAACTAATAAAGTAATAATCAGCAAGGACGGTTTGTGCCATCTAGTGGAAGGAATTGTGGGCATTTTAATTTTGATTCTGTGGCAGGTGAGGTTAATTTTGAGGTGGTAAATAAAAGATTCTGGATCTGCAAAAACAAGGCGTGTACAACAAGCTACATAACCCAATCAAGAGTGAACAAACCAACAGTAATATACCTGTATGGATCACTAATGTGTTCACTCTTGATTGGGTTATGTAATCTATTGTATATTTGTTTGTAGCACATTCAGCCCCAAAACAAAATCTACTCTATGTCTAGATAGAAGACTAATCTCTGATGTTTATATCTGTCAGAACTAGACTAGGGATGTCAATGGGTTGGGTTCGGAACGGGTTTGCCTAAACCCAAACCTGACCCAATCCGACAAAATGAAGAGGGGCTACCGAATCCGCCCCACCCCGCCTCATGTATAGTATACCTATATTCAAATTGATATTTTCTATACTAATAGCTTCAAGGCTGCAGCATCAACAGGTTGGGGCACTGCAGATTCTCCCCAACTTGACCCGACCTGAAACCCAATTGAGACCAACCCGACCCTAACCTGATAGGGTCGGGCCAATGTGGATTTACCACCTAACCCAACCCACTGACATCCCTAAACTAGACCATTAAAAAAGAAATATTTATCCCATTAAAGATGGCGTTCTAAGTTTAGGTATAGAGAAAATAACATAATAAAAATGAGAAGATTTTGAGGCAGAAGTAGTGACCTTCAGCTACGACAAGGGTCCTGGAGACAAGGACCTGTCATTTCTTGTGTGAGCAGCCTGAGCCCGAAGTGTAGGGACATGGACAGTGATTGGAAGAACCCACTCCCCTTTATCTCTTCCCTCTATAAGAAGGGGATGCTCGTAACTGAAATGAAAGAAAGAATCAGAAACAATTCTCTAGCTAAACACCCACTTCTCACTTTTTTTTTTTTGGATCAATCCCCACTTCTCACTTTTCCCCTCTTCACAAAAGAAAATCTAAGTGTTTAAATACACAAATAGCTTTAGAATGAAATATCATGATCTTGCTAATGCGTACTTTTCTTAATGCAAATATGCAATGGGAGATTCTCCTATTCAAGCCTTTTAAATTAAAAAAAGAAAGTTGTTTATGTAAAGTCTCGTGTCATAGAGAAGTATATGCTTTGGCAATGTTGCTCCCTATCATTCAGAAATGTAGTCCACCATGGATGTGAGACACTAAGAGGGTGTTTCCCAACATGATCCGATCCATTTGCACCCCTATCTACTACCGTCAAAATTTTACTTTGAAAAACAAGAACATGTGTTCATCTCCATCAGGCTGATATGGTCTACTATGGTGGTATATAAGTGCTGGTTTAAATGCACTTAAATGGATATGGGTCTAAATTATAAACAAAAATAAAAAATAAAAAAACTAAAGACGAGAAAATTGTATACTTCATGAAAGATACTGTTAAATCTCCAGAGAAAAACATGTTTTTGAAACTAGATATTGAATAATGTCTTTTCTGGTTTCAGCTTTTGGAAACAGGAAATACACTGCTAACCAGGAACTGTTTCTTTGTTTTTTTATAAGAATCATTTTTTTTTTCCCAAAATCATGCATGAGACTAAACTCAGAAAATATTCATATTGCAACATCACCACCTAAATGAAGGGTGATTGAATTTGTAATATAACTGTAAGCACCTAACCCCCAAAGGTTGTTACATGAGTTACCTCCAAATTCCAATCCCTATTGCATAAAGTTATAGGCCTTCTCCAACAGATTTTTGACAAAGTTCTGAAAAAAGGTTTGGGAATTGATATGATCTATTTTGGCAACTGGACAGTTGCCTGAATGTTAAATGTACACTCCACTCAAGTTTCCTGAGCAGTGGTAGTGACATATAATACCACTAAATGACATGGACAATTTATTATCATCAACATAAACCTAACAACAGACAAAATAAAGCATTAATGATTATACACGCTGCAGTTATACCTAGTCCAGTCAACATTCTTGGGAGTGGTAAAGAATTCAAAACGAAGAGCCCATTGCACTGAAACATGGGGCGAGGAAAATGACATGGGTCCATCTACAGGAATGGAAAAAAGAAAGCTTGTCTGCACCAAGTCTGCAACAACTTCATGGTGATCACTCTGAACCTACAAGCGAACAAAACATTGTCAGGAAAAAAACTTAGATTAATACCAAGTGGCCAGTTGTGAAGTACAAAAAAACTGAAGATGGAAAAACCATGGAACACAAAATAAATGAATGACAATGAATGGGCATGGAAGTTCCCATGGGAGAAGAAGATTAATACCAAGTGGCCAGTTGTGAAGTACAAAAAAACTGAAGATGGAAAAACCATGGAACACAAAATAAATGAATGACAATGAATGGGCATGGAAGTTCCCATGGGAGAAGAACAACCTTTGGGCCTTTGTCATCTGCAACAAATATGGACATGCTAGTGGGCAGGATATTGACTCAACGAAAAACTCCACTTCTCATCTGACAATCTTTGTAATGGTATACCCAAGATCTATTATCTTTTTATCCCTCTTATTAGTTCTGGCTTGGGAATTGTAATTCTCTCAAATTCTGGTTTGATAATATGGTGGGGTGGCAGTCACTTATGCAACTTCTATCCTAGAATCTATCACCACTCCTGTAATAAGGAAGCTGTTGTTTCAGCAATCCTTTCTAGAAATCAATCAGCCATCACTTAGGGCCCATTTGGTTCACGGGAATAGGAGTCTGGAATTGGAATCAGAATGGGCCATTCCGATTCCAACTGTTTGATTGGATGGAATCAGAATCCCATTCCCATTCCTGATGGAATGGCATTCCCCCATTTGAGGGAATGGCCATTCCCTCCCCCTCCCTTGGGAATAAAATCCCATTTCAGCTGATTCCAATTCCCATTCCAGTTCCTGTTTGAACCACAGACTATGGGAATAGACCATTCCGATTCTGATTCTGATTCCAACTGTGAAGCAAACGGACCCTTAACGTTACCATCATGATACCACCTTCATCTTTTGATGTTTTTTTAGCTGATAAGCAACAAGGAATTTTATTAAATGAGACAAATAGCAATATACAAGAGTGGCAATCCCTTTACATTTACAAGTACAAAAGAGCCCATGAGAGCATAGCCCTTGCTATCTCTTCCCAATTACGTTATAAAATCATTGCATCACAATCGTGCCCCAAAAACATGATTCCTATTAATCCCTAGCTCTGCAACCAAATTGACAAACGAGTTTGCAGACCTCTGTATTCATCTAATTTTCAATTGTATGTTTCTTTACAACCACTTGAACTGTTTAATTTCATTCTTAAAGATCCATTAAATTTTCTCCTTATTCAGCAACTAACTTATCACCATCTTTGAGTCCCATTCAATGATTAGTTTCTCCACTTTCATGTTGACAACATTTTGCACTCCATATTTGTTTTTTTATCAGCAACCACAAGAAATATTTTCATTAAAGATTAAAGGAATTAGGTACAACAAGGAGATGTGAACAACAAGCATGCCCAATACGAGGCAAGCCTCCCAACCCTTATTACAAATGTGCCCAATATCTTTGAACCCTTTACTTAGCTAAATTGTCAGCCAAACTGTTAGCAGATCGTCTAACCCAACGCACTTGAATGTTCATGTCTTTTGACAGCCACTGAAATTGCCTGAATTCATTCTTTAGCTGCCAAGTGACCCCCTCTCCTTTTTCCAACCATCCCACACTACCTTCAAATCCCCTTCAATAATAAGCTGTCAATTCCCATAAATTCTTCTTTCACCGAGTCACCTTGCTCAATTGGGCCTGAAAATATTGCACAAATAATGTCTCCCTCATCCCTAATAACCCCTCCAATACCTGAGGGACCCAGGTTACCCGTAATACTACCATCAAAATTCAACTTCTTCCACCAAGCCATCGGGGGTGACCATACCTCTAGATGTTTATGTTTCCTAGAGGAAGAGCGAACAATTGTCCCCCCAATTCCGGAAAAAAAAATCCTCCACTCAAAAGTCTTAAAAAAGTTTCAAGGTTTTTACCTAACGAGCAACCTTAAGGGTAATGCAATTAATTACCTTCACCAAGCTCCTCTCCTCCTCAAAGATTCTTGTGTTTCTTTCTTCACACGCTGTCCAGCATACTGCTGCCCTTGTACATCTCCACAAAATCCTACCTCTTTATTTGTGCTTCTCAAAACAGAAGGGCTGAAGAGTCCATCCAAACTGGCAGGAGGGTTTCACCTACAGTCAAAAAGAGAAGAAAACCATTCCCAAATACAACAAACAAAGGGACAAGCTTAAGAGGTGGAAGGTAATCTCACCATTCAATTTACACAAGAAACACTAGTTGGGGGACAAGGCCCAATTTGGTCTTTTCCTTTGAAACAAATCACAAGTATTAATGCACCCATGGAACAGTTCCCCACAAAATGCACTGACCTTCGGAGGAATAGGGAAACACCGGATTTCTTTCAAAGGGAAGGTGCGGGGAGAGGAAGTGGAAACAAGGGAGTTAAAAAAGGATTTACAAGAAAACTGCACAGCAGGGTTACGACACCACCACCAAGCATTTCCCCCATCATCAACAAGGAAAACGGACTCTAAAACACTTAACAAGTTAGACACCAAAAGTATTTGACTCTCCAAGATTTCTAGTGAACCCCAAATTCCAATTCAAACCAGAAGAAGAAGGGTGAGGTTGTAAAAAATCAGGGGAAGGAAATACATCTTTCAAAGGGGATTCACCCATGTTGATCTTTTGATGTTAACATTATAATCATATATTTTCAAGAGATGTGTAATATGAATTTGATAATAAACATCAGGTGTCGACATCCAAAATAACCTTAACCATAACAAGATTATATTATTTTGTGATTTTAAACAATGATCATATAGAACAAAACAGGGGTACCTTTGTAATTGTTGGGGAATTTCTTCGTGAAGGATGGACAAATTGTTGACTTATAGTTTCTGATGCCTCCAATGTTATTGAGAGCTGGAAAGTTTTAACAATTTAGTCATTATTCTCTGTGACTAGTGTAGTTCAACTTAAGTAATAGAAGTATCATATTTACTTAATGGAGTGCTCAGATGAACAATTACCTCAAGGCATCTCCTAGCTCCTTCATGAAAGAAGGTGAGAGTGCCACCAATCTGTGGCCAAAATGATATAAGAAAACCATATTGGACATTGGAAAAATTAAGAATATGGAGTAAATATATAAGCATACTAACCATGTCACTGAAGTAATAAGTTGAATCAGAGTTCTTTGGGCAAAATCGAAGCAAAACTTGGTCATCCAACCTGATATTGTAAGACTTTCCTCGAATAAAGCCTTCTGCTGTAGAAAATATTTGTGGAAAATAAGGTTACCAAGATTTACATAGACAATCATGATATCCTAGGATAATCAAGATAATGGAAGTGCGACAAATTACATGCTACAGATTCATCAGTTCCACATGTGGAAGGAACTTCTGTATCATTGGCAGGAATAAGATATGCATGCTTTGCCTGCTGTCTTGGAGAGAAAACTGGAGGCATCTTATTGGGTGACACTACATCTGTTGGCAACAATTTCATGATTCCATAAGTTGAATTTCAGAGCAAACCCATATACCATAACTAGCAATACCATGTTAAAGGCAAACATTGACCATTTCCATAGATAATAGACAAAGAATGGGACAAAGGCCAACGGTTTGTAAATGGTAAGGTAAAATTGAAGGGCTGAAATATATGACAAATTTAATGAAACTAATTCATGTTCCCAGAAATAGCAAACACGCACCATGATCATACGAGTCCTCGGCTGTAGAGAGACGTGGAGGTCCCATAGAAGAGAAACTTACACGGTCTCCTTGCATGCAGGGAGTTTCCTTGTTTGAATGCCTTGACAGAGATGATTTAATGGACAGAGATTTTTCAAATTGTAGGTCCAAATTTCCCTTTGTGGGATTGTAAGAAGAAACAGACGATATCTCATCCCTTGAACTTTCATATCCTTCCTCAACTCCATCAGATGTATCATTGGCTCTAGCCTGGAATGAATACAACCCTCCCAAACTCAGATAGATGTAATCATTATCTTAATAGTTTGCCTAAATTACTAGATGAAAGAATATATTCTGTGACTGGTTGAACATAACTCTAGAAGCATGAAACAAGATAGTCAAAAACCTGATACTATTTGCAAAATAACACAGGGAACAGAAAGGTTGAATATTGTCATTACTGCTTACCCATTCAGAATCTCCATTGTTCTCTTTCCAATATATATCCATTTGGAAGGCCATGGCAGGAGAGGTCCCTGCCAATGTTGACAGGAATAGTTAAGTTTCTCATGCTTCTTTTACAGTCTATATGCCAAGAGAAAAACTCACCATCACTTTGATCATCTTCATTTAGAAAGCTACTAGCCTTTTGTGTGACCCATATTTGCAGTGGAATACGATCTTCCTGCAAGGATCAGAGTTTACAAATATAACAAAATGACCTAAGAAGAAGAGGCAATAAAATATAAAGACTCTGTGCTTTTCTCCTTTTTCACATTCTCATTGTTACACCATGATGATGAGTATGGAAGAAATGCAAATGTTGAGGTGGATAAGTGGGAAAATAGAAAGGATAGGATCAGAAATGAACTTATTTGAAGGTCAAAAAGGGCATGGGTTGAAGTAGCAAGAAATGATTTGAGGGTCCATAATTTAACAATGGATACTGTAGAGGAGATGGGCCGAATGGCCCTTAGGCTGTCATTCTATGTTGTGTTTATGTTTTCCTCTGTAATGGGCCTTATTCTAGGCCCATACTCTTATATACTCTATTTTTGTAATTTCTTGCCCACCCAAGGGCCTCTCTGTAATAATTCAAAGATTAACTTAATAAAATGTTTTAGAGTGTTAGAGGGAGGTTTAGTTCGAACCTCTCACTCTCTAACTCTCATTNTTCAAAGATTAACTTAATAAAATGTTTTAGAGTGTTAGAGGGAGGTTTAGTTCGAACCTCTCACTCTCTAACTCTCATTGCCGCCAGCTCTCTCTCTCTCTCTCTCATCTTCTTAATCTTCTCTTGTTTGTTTTCTAGTTTTGCATCTAATTTCAAGCAGTTCTATACTTCAAGAGGGCTGTTTTCAACTTGGTATCAGAGCAGGCCAGAGCTTGGCATGACCCTCATGTGGTTCTAGTCCAGCCGACTGCATGAGGATGTTTTAGGGCTAGAAGTTTAAAGTCATTCGCCTGGTTCTTGGAGGTCATTGGAGGGTGCCCAAGYCTCTACCCACTTGGAGAATAGTTCGGTGACCAGGAAGAATCAGAGAGAAAGGTGTTCGGCCTGATTTGAAGCTCAAATCAGAGATTCACATACTGTAAGTTACCGCAGTTATTGCTAGGTTATTTTCTTTGCTTGGGAGGGCTGTTAAAGTACTCGAAACCCCTCTCCATTCTGCCCTACTGTTCGGCTATTGCTGGACTAATTCAACTCAGAGATTTCTGGGTTATTTTGGGGAGCAGTTCGGCTATTGTTGGACTGTCAAGTTGCTGAAACTGGTTTGGACTCARTGGTATTAGTCTCTAATTCAGCCCAGCCTTTTCTTGGACCTATACGAAATACTATTGAAGTGGTTTCTACTAGTTATCAGTAGGGTGTTAACTACTGCACACAGAGTGTTTGTTAAAAAGGCCTCTTAAGGACTATGGACTGTTATTTCTTTTCTTTGGGACAACGGTTGTTGGGGACTTGGAATACTTTGTGTTTGGAGGTCTGCTGGTTGCCCCTTGAAGGCTGAAATAGTATTTCTTCTTCTAGAAAGAGCTGCCACCGAGCTTGGCTGTCACAATTGTCAAGACTGAACTGATTTTGTGAGCTGTGTGGTGTTGCCGATTCAGCTCAAACCAAGTTCATCAAGAATCCCTGCACTTTGAGAAACTTATTAAAACCCTAATTGGAACCTTTTCATGATGGACTTTGGGAACCCCAGCCAATTCTATGTTAGCTATAACTACAGTTAAACTTGATGGGACCAACTACTTGGCATGGTCACAATCAGTGAAAATCCATATTTGTAGCAGAGGAAAATGGGGGTTTGTTTCTAGGAGCAAGAAAGCTCCCCCATAGGACGATCCATCTTATGAGAGATGGATGCAAGAGAACTACATAGTGCTTGGGTGGCTTGTGAATTCAATGTAGCCACAGATTAGTCAACACTATCTTTGGATGAACTCGGCTAAGGAAATCTGGGATAGTGTTGCAGAAACCTACTCCCAGAAATTGAATGTTGCTAGAGCCTATAAACTGAGGAGTGATGTGAAGAATCTAAGACAGGGGGAGAAATCCCTTGCGGCATACTTCTCAACCCTGAAATCTTTATGGCAAGAGATTGATCTGATAGAGGCTGTAACATGGGATACCCCCAATGATGCTGAAACATACATGAAATTAATTGAAAGGAATAGGGTCTTTGAGTTCCTAACTGGGCTGAATCCTGAATATGATATCACAAAGCGGAACATTTTGTCCAAGGAAAGTGTTTCATTGTCGCAAGCATATGCTTTGGTCAGCAGTGAAGAGAGTAGAAGACAAGTACAGGTTCAAGGAGTTGGCATCAATGATCATTTTGCAAATATGGGGGTTAAAACCAAATGGGTTATAGGGGCTCCCAGTGGCACAGGAAAGGAGGTGGTCTATGAATATTGCAAGAAGCTAAAATACACCAAGGACAAGTGCTGAAAATTGCATCCCAGTCTTGTCCCTGTTCGGTTCCAGAAGAAAAATGATAATAGAAAGACAGGGAGTGCAAATGCAGCCATGGGTACAGATACAGAAGTTGAATCTGCCTGTGCACAGTTGGCAGCTATGAAAGTTGAATATGAGAAGTTTGGAAAGATGATAAGCCATCTTGAAGGTGTAACTTCATCATCCAACCCTTCTGGAA